ATTCCTCTTTTTTTCTTAACAGTTTCTATACTCTCTGTTGGGCCCTCCTCTCCCAATCTGCTCTTATCAACGGCCGGTCTCAGCCACAGTCTGACGGTGTGATAGTAGGATATTTAAATCATACAATACCAGGGGTTTGATCTCGTAAGGCATGGTGGGAACCAACATGGCGCGGCAAGATCGTGCCCATGGGAACGAGGTTGGTTGCGGACAGGTATCGATCGGAACGTGTAACACGTGCACGCGCCGTATGCAGTAGGCGAGTTCACCCAAAGAGGTCAATTTTTGGTACGATGTTTTCTTTCAGGTCACGAATTTTTTTTAAGATTCAAAAATTAATATGCTAGCAGATATTTTTCGAAAGTTATTTTCTGAGGTAAATTTAAGATACACACGCGAAAAGTTTTTAATTTAGAATTTTTGTTTGTTACTTTTTCTAACAATTCTGAAGCGTGCCATTGGGGATTAACTTTCAGGCTCTTCTATTGGCGCTAACCATTAAATTCCCCAGTTTTATATATATAAACAGAAGGTATACCTGCATATTATTCAATGTAGTCGCTTTTCACTATAACCAGAAGAAGGTTACCTCAAGTGCAGAAAGTGAAAACGAAGCGATCGTACACGTACAGTTAGGAAACCTACAAGCGCATATTACCATCTCAAGATCTTGCGTGGCTCAAGGCAACCTCGTTCTCACGGGCACGATATGCCTCAATACGGTAGCTCCCAACATGCCTTTCACGATGGAAGGAATGCACACGTAGTCCATTGAGTCGAGGTTTTGCTCAAGGTCTGCCGAATTAAAAATTATCTACTTAAGCTGGAGATCGAGAATAAACGCGTAGTTGAAAGCGCACATGGCCGTTATAAAACACCTTACAACTGTAGTAAATGTTTTTAAAATATCGGCAAGTTCTGTGACTCTACCCATCTTATGCTTCGTTTCCACGAGAAGAGTTTTCTGCGGGATAAAGTAAACAATTTACACGACTGATGTGTGGGTAGGTTCACTGTTGAGGTTTGAGCATTTTAAACTCGAAACGCATCATAGTATAACAAAAAAATCGTAAAAAGCTCGTAGAATTTACAAGGCACTCAGTTAAAGATCTGTTGTGCTGACATTATTTCATGACGTAACTCGTCTTTCTGGGTGCTAAGTTGGACATCAGTTGAGGAGGGGAAGAAATTTGTCAAGAGGCTATTAATGCAACCTGTGCTTGATAGCAAGCCTTTTGTTCCAGAAACAAAATACTACACTGAACTGCCTGAATTTAACCGTTTTCAGTTATCTACTTTAAGAGCAAATTCGCAGAAAGTTTATACGAAAAAGCCTAAGAAGAAACAATCTGAAATCTAAAAGGCAAAATATACATGTTCTATATATGAATTCTACGTATTTTTCAAAGAAACACGCATCTGGTTACTTCCCAGCATTTCTAATGTGTGAGTTTCAAGTCAGTGTTCCTTGCTGGATTGTTAATTGCATCAATGCTGAAGCACTCAAGTATGCTACGATATTTTTTCAACTTACTTCGTGAAGTTACATTTGA